TTACACTCATGGGGACAATTGTGCATGGGTGAATTACAACACTAAACACCTGAGTGTGTGCAAGCAGATATGAAATGCATGACTGCAATGTACAAGGCACATTTGCATGTACAATCTGCAATGGCACCATATGCACAATGGCAATGCATGCACAACTCTGCTTCCACAGAATTTTTTTTAATTGTCTATTTATTTTTATTCTTTATTGTATGTTAGTTATGATTTACTTGGTTTTAATAGATGTTAGTTTAATACGTTTTTATGGGGGTGGGTGCGGGGTTGGGTTTTTTAGATTGTATTGATGCATTTTTAATTGTTGTAAGCCGCCCCAATTGTTTTAACAGAGGGGCGGGGTATAAATTATCATCATCATCATCATCATCATCACAACTTTCATTGGAATATGGCTGTCTTCATCAGACAAAAATACCCACATTTGAGTGCTGGAACTTTCCCATTTGGGCCTGCAAGGAAATAGCCAATCCTCAACATTTTCACATCTCACAAATCCTTCCAATGGACAAGAAAAGACAGAGAGGAGGAGGAGAAAAACATGCATTACCACTGTTGTTCAGCAAAGAAATGCTGAAGAAAAATAAAGTTGCACTCTGTCCTTTTAAGAGACCCCAAAAGCTTATTAGCAGCTTTGCAAAGTCAGCTGTTTCTTCTTCCTGCTGTTTCTGCCACACTTAGGATTGACTTCCAGTCACTCCAGGCCCATCCATCTCTCTGTTGTAAGCAGGATAATCTTAGCTGCAATCCCTGAGACTTTTGTGGGTGGTTCTTGCAAGTCCATATGGCATCGGAGGTAGGACGTGACCAAATTCAGCATCTTGAAAACGGTGGCTGTTGTTTTCTCTGAGATGCTGCCAGTCTCTAGTCCTGAAGGCCTTAGGCATGTAGACAACACCACCAGAGTTTAGCACTTTGGATGGCTTCTTTAAAGTTTGCACTTCAAAGTTCAGGCTAAAGTGAAGAGTGGATTTACTGCCCCCAACTAACATCAGGGCTGCCAGCCTTCAGTGTCACAGACTGCTTCCAGAGATCTCTCACCTTGAATCTCTAAACATCAGGAAATATCCACACATACACACACACACACACACACTTACACAGGGAATGTGTGAACCCATAAAAGTGGGGGGCAGGTCAATTTCCAGCCCATGTTGATCCATTAAACCCTCCACTAGAGCTGCATTTGATTCCTGCTGCATCGCATTGGCATCTGTGTGAGCAGAATGTTGGCCATCCAACAGGGCTACGGTTATGCCATAGTGAAGAGCAATATGAGCCTCTTCACTCCTAAAAATAATAGCAACGCTCAAATAGATCAAGGCCTAATGGAAAGATGGGAAGACATCAAGAGAGCCCCAAGCGCTGAGGATGCCACTCTCTGTGCATGCAGAGAAAAAGAGGCAAAACTGCATTCTACTGAGCAGATAAACTGTATTTGGGTTACATGGACTGGAAAGCAATTTGCTGCAGCCTTTTCACAATCCTGGGGGAAGACCTCTGGGTCCATTCGACCCAGTTAGGAGCAGCTCATTTGCCCTTTTGCCCTGCCTGTCTTGCAGAGGTGCCTGGAAATTGCCTAGTACGTGCACAAATACGCCTTGCTTGTATTCAAAGACATAGCTGTGTTAGTTGGAAAATCAGCATGCAAAGGGATCTTGTAGCACCTTTGGGACTAACAGAGAGAGAGAAGGTGGTAACCTGAGCTTTCATAGACTTGAGTCTTCTTCCTCAGATGCAAGGAATGGAGGGTTCAGGGACAGACCGATATAAACAGGCTGTGTGGGAGAATAGCAACAGCAATGCAAACCTTGTGGCCATGAAGATACGGTGGCAAGTTCAGTTTTAATAAAGGTCATTGGGGGACAAAGGCAGGAGGAAGGATGTTGCCTAAAGCCAAGGTGAGTAGATAACCAAATGCATGGTGGTGGGGATATTGGAAGGTAGCGTGGGAACCACGGAGGAGATGTGATGGACTAGCCAAGAGAGCCCTCATGAGGCTGGAGACTCAGGTCTGCAAAAGGCCATGTTCTCAGCTTCATTCTTTCGGTCAGGCTCAAAGGTGCTACAAGATCCCTTTGCAAGCCTTGCTTGTGTATTGCCCCAATCCCTCACTCTACGGAAAGGGAACTCTCTGTAACCCTCCATCTAGAATCCGTCGGCAGCCCTCCTCCCATCCCTCTCCAAGGTCACTCCGTAGGGCTTTCTCGGCTGTCCTTGGTCCATGGCACGCACAGCGTCCCCAAACCCTCCATCCATCCTAGGCTGTTCCTATAGCAACTGTTGCCTAAGCAATCTCCAGGCCCCTCCCTCACGTGACCCACTCCACCTTCT